GATGGTCAAATAACCATCAGTTGCCTTAATTGGTGGTCAAAAGTAGTCTATTTGGCCTTAAAAGTGGTCAAATATAACCATCAGCTACCTTAATTGATGGTTAAAAGTGGTCAAACGTGACCATCAGCTGCCTTAATTGATGGTCAAATATGCCCTCGCCTTTAACTACCAATTATTAGTATAACCAAACAGAAAATTTTTGAAAAATTCCTATGTGCTATATGACCACTTTTGACCATCAATTAAGGTAGCTGATGGTCACTTTTGCCACTTTTAAGGTCAAATAGACCACTTTTGACCATTACGAAATAGATTTCTTAAGTAAAGTGATTTATTCAGTGAGGTTACACAAATTTAACTGCATATTTACTTATAAACGGGTATCTTCTGGATCCATTAGTGCAATATTTGTACCACATTGTAACTAAAAAAAATCAAAAACTTTTTATTAGGTTACACAATTGAATTTGGCTGGAATTATAATTTGACTGGTGAAATCACCTGCGGTGAGTTTTAGCAGATCTGCTAATGAATATAAATGATCATTAGAGCTAATAATAAAAATATATAAATCTGTCTGGTAAAGAAAAAAGATCTGCTAATAAAAAAGGGGATTAATTAAAAAAACGTTGTGAAAACTTTTTTTCAATTAAAAATACTTTGAAAAAACGTTTTGCAACATTTTTTCATTAAATTAATTAAAAAAAAATATCACATGATGACCTCTATTATGTTCATTGACAAAAAATTTTATTGATCAGCAAATTAATTAACTGCAATTTTATTCTAATATTACACTATTCAATTTAGTTTACTCAGTTCCTTTAATATTAATATAAATTAAATTAAAGAGTGATTTTAATGCTCACCAGTGGTGAAATTTACCCAAGGTAAAGTTCACCTATATTACATAATTTATTAAAATTTAAATTGTTTTATTTTGAAAAAACTAATAATTTTATTAATAAAAATATTTGTATAAAATATATACTGTAGTTTAAATATAATAATATATTATACAATAATTCATAAGTTAGTATGGGCTGGTGCAAAAAGATTCGTACCTCAACAAAATGCCAATAAAAAAATTTTTTATTATATAAATGTTTATTTATTTATTTAATTTGAATTGATATATGTTTGGGAAATATAAAAATATAAGTGTAAGATTAAATTGTGTATTATCAATTAAAATTACTATAACTGATAACCACTAAATTTTTATTGATTAATTGTGCATTTTTTATATGATATTTAAAGTATTCTTTAACATATTTAAATGCCATTATCTAAAATTTAATTAAAACTTATGAAATTTTTTTTTTTTAAATGAATTTAATAATGTATCATAAATGGATAAAGATTTTGAATGAGAACTTAAACTTACAATTTTACACTTTATAACTATTTAAAAACCTTCAATTAGTTAAAGTTTGTGGTAATAAGTAGAGATAAAAATTTTTTTGATAATTATAGTATTTTGCTATTTTAGAACAAGAAAATAAATGCTTTTCCTTTGTTTATTTAAATTAATTTTAAAAATTCTGATATTTTCCATTTATTAAAAAGGAAATATTGTAAATTATTAGACAGTTTATTATTTATTTGCATTTTATATGTAAAGTTTTAGCATGAATATACTGCTGCTATACCTTATTTTAATTTGATATCATAATTTTAATTGTACTTTTAGTAATTCCCAATGCTTCAGCAGTTTGCTTGTGTAATATGAACATCAGATGGCTCATCCTCATAAAATTAATTTAAAAAGTGTAATTGCAATCATTAATTATTACTATTTTTTTGTTATATTTTAACAGTATTCTATTTTATTTTAAAAAAGAAAAAAGGATGGTATAAGAAAGAAAATTAAAAATCAAGTACTTTTAGTTATTATTTATCAAATATATGAATTTCGGACCGTTATATTATGTTGTGCAATATTTGACCTTAATGTAAATCTTATCTATTTTTAGTACGAATCTTTTTGCACCGGCCCATATTATTATAAAAAATGTGATAAATCTTACAAGTATTAAGTAGATTTTATACTGCTAAACAACTTTCAATTAAATAAAGGAAGTAAATTTCATTTGACTAATATAAAGTGGTGAAATTATGCTCTATAGTTAGATAATGGTGTAGTTAGCCATAAAATTCAGCTGAAGGCACAGTAAATTTTTGGCTAACAACACCCAGCCGAAAAAAATTCATATTGATCTTTGAATATTTTATTGCTTCAACATCTACTATTTTCAGCTGAATATTTTCAGCTAAATACACTTTTTTTAAATAATAATGTAGTTAGCCAAAATATCCAAAAAGCAGTCATTGCTTATGTAACCTCCTAATTCACTTTATTATGGTCAATATCACCCTCTTCAAATATAAAATACATTTGTGAAATTTAAAATCAATCTAAACTTATTTAATTGGCTAAATTAATGATTTTTGAATCCATAATTCTGGCCGAAATTTTCTTAATTCTGGCCTAAAATTGGTTAAATTGAAAATTTCAGGTAAAATGTAACATATTTATACAAATAATCTCCAGACTAAATATGGAATATATAACTACTTGTCAGTCTCTAAGTGTTTATTAAAATATTTTTTCAAATGCTTTTTGTTTTTTGAGTTGGAACTTAGCTAAAAATTAGTATATTAAAAATAAAAAATAATGCAAAAAACTTGAAATTTGTCAAAGATAGTGAATAATATAAGACTTTAAATTAAAACAAAAAATATTTTCACCATTGTATAATAAAAAAAAAAAAATAATGCACATATATTTTCAAATCCCTTAAAAAAAATTCCCTTTTTTATTTTATCTGTATAATTGTATTGTTATAGTTTTAATGGTTAAATAAACTATTTATTATTAATTTAAAGAACAATTAAATATTAAAAATATTTCTTTTTTACAATTAAATTACTAAAAATGTAATATTAAAGTATGGTTGGACAGAAATAAATGAGTTAAAAATAACAAATATTTTGTAGTTTTATTTAATTAAAAATAATGCACTGTTCAAAAATAAGTATAGTAATGTTATGTACTTCTTGTTTTTTATAATAAATAAAATTTTGTCATTATTTCATATTGACTGCTATTTGGATATTTTGGCTAACTACACCATTATTAAAGTTAGTAAATGGAAAAAAGAAAAATTCAATAGTACCATTATGAAAAAATAGATTTCTCCATATGTATTATTATACCTACTTTACTGAAACCTATAAAATCGTGGCTGTAGCCATGCTGCCACCATTTAATGTAGTAGGCGTACAGCTACTCTATGTTAATTCTAATGCAGTTATATGTATTTAATATAGAAAATATGTAGTAAATTATAGTAATAGTATAGAAATTGTATTGCTAATACAAAGAAACTATATAAATGTTAGCAAGAAACTGTATAAATGATTTAAAGTAAGGTTGCTTGTCTAAACCTCTTCAAAATCCTACAATTAGTTTCATCAAAATTTTAATATAGATTTATTATAGTTTCGGCAGAGTTTCGGCAGTTTCGGCATTGATAATAAGTTTCGGCAGTTTCGCCTTTTTCTAAAGTTTCGCCAGTTTTTTAATATAACTTTAATATAGTTTCGGCAGAATTTCGCTTTTCGGTGAAATGCCATCTTGCCTAAACCCCTAGGTTTTGGCAAGCAACCTTAATTTAAAGTAATGATATATATAATTTGCATTAAACATGTAGTAAATTTATAATAAATTTATATTAACTTTATAATAAATATGCAGTAAATACATAATAAGTATATAGTGAATTCATAGTAAATACATAATAAATATATAACAAATTGCAGTAAATATATAGTAAATTCACAGTAAATACAAATAACAAATTCATAGATATGAGTCCGATCACATTCCAAAAATCGTTAAGTATGGTGCAGCAAAATTGCGCCAAGTTCTCATGAAATAAATTTGGATGGAACGTATGATTAGGTGGTGTAGTCAGCCAAGCTGATTGGGCAGAAACTTTACTGCAATATTTTTGGGACCGAATGCAGAACTGGTGTCCTAGCCAGCTAACGGAGATGTAAAATGTACTGATTGTAGGAAGTGTCTGATGCATTTTACTACAGTCTCTCCTAATAATACGCAAGAAATAATTTCCGGTCAGACTTATCCTACGTAATTCGTCCCTTCAGCATTTTTTTTTGAAATTTCATGGATGTTCCTAATACAAATATTTTCAATAATTACAGGACACTATACCAATATATATGGATAGAGCTTGAACTCGCACTCATGTAACTCAAGTTGACTCAAGTTGAACTCGCACTCGAGTCAGAAATTTCTTGACTCGAGTCAACCGGGATCACGTGGTTGATAGTGCCAGCTGAACCCTATTTGTAATTCCTGCCAGCACTATGACTATAACGGTCTGAATAAAATTATGGATAATTTTTTTGGCCCGCACTTTAACTTTTGACTCAAATTAACTCGAGTTAACTCGAGTTCTGACTCGAGTCCTAGACTCGAGTACTCTTTGAGTCAAAAAAATTCTTGATTCGTTTTACTCGAGTTGACTCATCCTGACTCGAGTCTAAGTTCTATATATGGAAACCAGAACGTGAATGGTTCAAAACCTTTCAATTTCTCAAGAAAAGACAAATCCATTATCAACGTCGCTCAAAGAAAATTTGTCACATGGTAAATACAATCCTGCAACTACATCCATTTCATTACACTATACTCTCTGAGGCAATTCTCCGATCTCACTCAATCCTATGTCATGTAGCATAGCGAACATCTCTATTTTATCACAATTTTGCCGATCATTTGCCGATCATTTGCTGATCATTTATTTGATCTTATCACATAATACAAATGCCGTAACATATTAATTTTACACAATAATAAACATAACAAATGTTTAAAATTTACAGATAACTTCACAAAAATTTAATTTTAATTAAAGAAAATTTATATAAAACATAAAATTAATACAAATACTAATAATTATATTATAATACTAATAATTTAACCATGTTTGGTATAATATTTCAAACTGATTATCTATATTACTTTCTATTACTTCTAAAATATTTTCAATATTCTCATCATTATTATTTTCACTTAAACTATCATTATCTTCATCTTCAACTAAAGGTTTTTCATTGTCTTTTAATGGTGTAAATAATCTTTTTTTTAAGCTAGTAATATTCTTTTCAATATTTAAAGATAAATAATTAAAACAATACTCACAATTACCCTTTAATAAGTCCAAACATTGTTTATGATAGGCATGTCCACATGTTAAAACAATATTATTATTATTATTAGCTAAATTTGAATTATTACTTAATAATAATAAGCATTTTTCTGCATCACAAAATTTGTTATCAGAGGGTTTAGTTTGTGTATTCCAAGCTAATGGAAGGATTTTTACATCAACATTAATATTAAAAGTTGGAAGACTAAAATTTGGATATTTGTTTCTATTAATTTGTTGTGTATTTCCCATATTATGATAAATATCATCAAATAGAGATAATAAAAATAATGAAGTCTTTTTTTCTAAATAATCTAATTTAGTCTTAAAAGTAGTTGGATTTCTTAAATTAATAAAAGCTTCTTTAAAAGACAAATTATTAGTCCTTTCAGCATCAATGATTTTTGCTTTTTGAATAATTTGTTGTATAGAATTAGATTCAGCTGTTTGGTTTCTAATAGAACTATGGAAATTTTCAACAAAATAATCATTAAAAATTGGCAAATGGTTTTTTAAAATATCAATTATTGGATGATTATTTGAGGTCCAATAAAATATATCACTTAAAAATATAAGTGGTGCCTTATTATAATTATGTCTTCTTAATCTTTGAAATAGTACCCAAATTCTTACAACACCTTCTAAATATCCTTCAAAAAATCCACTTCTAAAAAGAACTGCATAAATATCTAAAGTAAGAGGTATAGAATTATCTAATAAATCCATCATCATTCTATATTCTGCATCTTTGGAATTTTCAAAACGATTTATAACAACATTACAAATTTTTTTCCAGCCTTGAAATGTTAAGTTTAATATAAAATTGATTATAGTCTGTTTTGGTTTTTGTGATAAAACTTTTTTTTCTCCAAATAAATTATGATATAGCATTTCAAAAAAGAAATGATAGGTTTGAAATAATGTTTCTCTACTATTAAGAGATATATGAAGTGGACCAATTATAGGAATTAAACTTAATATTTCCAGAGGAATTCCAGATTCTGATCCTTTATTATTTCTTAATGTTATAGCTCTTCTAATATTTACCTGCCCTGGCCAATCACAAATTGTAGGAATAATACAATCACTTAAATAATCTTGTTCATTATTATTTTTAAGTTTCTCAAAAACCTTAAATAAAAGATTTGCACATTCAATATAATCCTTTGTACTATGTAAAGGATGTAAAACAAAATCTATTAGCTTACTATTAATCATAGATCTTAATTCTTGATGATTTTGAATACGGCCATCATAATTATGAACAGTAAATAATTCCATTCTATTTTCATAAGAATCTTCTATTAAAAATTGTTTCCATATTTCATTTTGTTCATAATAACAACTATTTAATTTATTCATAAAGATTTCATTAAAATTCTTAATAATTAGTTTAGAATCAACTCCTATAGGATTATGAACTGAAGTATTGTTAGATGAGTAAGCAGATATTTTAAGAATATTGGGATTTGAATTTAATAAAATGGTTACAAAATGAAATATGTTATGTGTTTGTATTAAAGTTGGTTGATTCCTTCTGTGAATGTTATGATAATCATCAATATTAAGAAAAAACATTTTTTCAATATTTTGTAAACAATAATTATCTACAGTTTCTTGATGCTCATTTGCAATCAATAATTTTTGTTGATTTACAGTTTTCCTTGTAACTGAAAATCCTAAATTACTAAGAGTATCAATTGAAGATGCTGATGCTCCAGCAGTTTGTAGATATGATCCAATATCAGCTTTGAGTCCATTGATATATTTGTTATTAATACTGGCTAAAAAATAGCATAAAGAAACCAATTTTTTCTTATTATTTTCATTTGTTTTATCACATTTAGTATTAGGATTAGTTCCAGCATATAATTCATCAAAAAAACCAATTAAATCTTTATCAGCTGTTTCTAGCATTTCTTTAAAAACTATGGGATTATAAATAGGTTTTTGATTTAATTGATGTTGATTTTTATATAAAATATTAGACATTTTTTTAATCTTTTCACTTAAACTTACTTCATATGGAATTGATATTTGTGAAATAATCTCTTGATAATCTAGTTCTAATTGTTTTAATTCTGCTTGAGTATATAAAATATCATTCCTTAATGCATAAGTATGAGTTCCAATTTTTGTTATATTATCTTGATTATTTGATTTAATTGGAATTGGTGCTTGATATTCTTCAGTTTGTAGATATTCTGGATCTTTATCAGTGTTTTTTCTACATCTATCACAAATTTTAGATTTTTCATCTAATCCTAAAACATTGATAAGTCTTTTTGGAATATTAATTAAGCTAGAATTTGTTTGTTTATTTGACTGATTAAGATAAATTTGATGTTTTGGATGAGAACAAACTTGTAGCATTTTTTGTAATCTATGATTTTCATTAAGAATAAACTTATTGTAATGGAACATACAAAGAAACATTTCACATGAAATTAACCCAATATTTGTCTCTGGAATTGATACTTTATCTCCAACTTTATAAATTCTTCCATTACATTCATTAGAATCAAATTCACAAATTCGTGTATTATTATTATTTGACATTTTAATGAATTACTAATAAAGCAAAAAAAAATAATGATAATTCTAGCAGAATTTGGTTTAATATATGGGAAAACTAATAAACAAAATAATTTATTCTTGTATTTCTGAGATCAAAACAAAAAGTTTGTCCTTTTATTAGAAATATATCAATAACAAATAATTGGCTAATTTCTCTATAAGCAAAACACCTGCATTATGGGCCAAAACCTTGCATTATTTTTTTTTATAGATTATATATACTAAAAGGGATGTTCATGCAAAATTTCAAGTTTCAAATTTGCGTATTCGGCTTCGGCCTTCAATTTTTATCCAATAATCGGCTGAAACTTCAAATTATCACATATTAATAATTTAGCATATAGAAATTAAAAATTATATTATAAATTATTTAATTTAATGTTATACAATAATAAAGGTGGCATATTTTATTTTTTTCTTATTTAGGCATTTATTTTGCTATGCACTTTTTCATAATTTAATCATTTTTTAATAAAATGAAAATTGTGATCGACAAATGATCGGCAAAGTGATATAAAGCAAGTTCGCTATGCTATGTCATGTGTCCTTATCTACCTATCCACGTATTCTTGAAGAAAAAGAAACCACTTCAGCTTCCCTTAGTAAACTAGGAAATAGGAACCATTGTAAGCCCAGAGCGATCATTTCATTAAAGAACCCACCACGCATCTAGATTCTACAAATTTCGTCCATTTCACTTTTTAATCACCCCCAAAAAGACCGAAACCTACAAAAGGAAGAAAAGAGACATTAATAAAAGTTTCTAATTAAAATTAAAAAAAAGTAAGTTTACATGTCATGAAACTTACTAAACGTGTCCAAGTCTTAGTATCAGTTTCGTTCCAGTGTCCCAAACCCAAACCTACAAAAAAAAATATTAAAAAAAGATAAAGAAAAGAACTGCTAATAAAGTTTGTTAAAAATGAAAAATTAATTAAAAGGTCTTACCGAAATCCCAAATCAAAATGCCAAAGAGCGCGTCCAAAGAAATCCAGAAAACCTTCTAAATAAAGGAAAAATCAAGATGTTTAATAAACACTTCATCCAGTTAATGAATAACACGAAGAATACACATTCTCCTTCCTCCTCTTACCAAATTTTCACGTATCTGAAAGAAAAAAACCTAAAAAAAAAAAATTAGTATATAAATAAAAAAAAAGAACTCTTTCCAATGATCATCCAAACCAAAAAATTTCAAAAAATAAACTGACCCTTTTGTCCTAAGTAAAGTACCTAATATCCACCTCCGGGCGAGACCTCAAACCCTTAAAAGTTCAAACAACCCCTTAGTCATCGTCAGAAAAGTTCAAACGAGGCTTTTATATTCACACATAGGGTTTCTGGTATCAACCCATTTTCGAGTCTAAAATATACACAAACTACATATTAACTCCCCTCAAAACTCTTTATACACACACTTTATAATTGTAGTAACGTACTGACAATGATACTAACTAGTTTTTTTCCAAGAACTTTTACATAGCTTATAATGATCTGTTAACAACTTTTACAATATATCTCGCAATACTGAAGTCACACAAAGTAACAAAAGCTTCTTTCCAATATACATCCAATAAAAACGCTTCAACATGCACAAAGCAGATCGATGTGGCTACAACGCAATATATGAATCAAAATGCAGCAGATCTTTTTTTTAGAAATAAACACAAGTCCAACTGATAATGATGTTGATCCTGGCAGCATTACGTACAAAATACATATCCGCGCCTCCTTTTCAGATTATGGTAATAATGGTCCACCATTATCCAAAATGAAAAACATCTCTACAACACTGTTCCAAATACACGTATCGTAAGTATTTTGGATCATGGGCAATCTTACTACCATCACAGTTTACACCATCAACATCACGCAAACAACAATTACATCATGCATGACGTAAACTTAAAATTACTAACAAACAGTTATTCAAAACCCACATGGATAGCAGAAATAAACGAATACAGAGTGGCTAATTTGTTCCTTTAATGCGTGTAGAAAAGCTCTGTACAATGGGTCATCTCTGTGCAGAATTACCAGGTTATTTTAAAGAAGTACATCACACATTCTCACCCAAAGTTAAACGTTCTTCAATCCTTTCCAAGTTCCTTCCAAGTGGATAGTAATAGAAAATGGGCTAAAGAACTTAGAAAAAAAGAAAAGTTAAATAAAGCGCCCGTACCTCAAACACCTCCAAAACCTAAGGTTATTTTACCTGAAGTTACCACCCTCCTTCTTATACAGCATCATCTCTCAACTGCAGCGCAAAGAAATTCGAGAAGTTCAAGAACTTTTTTCCTAACGGTCCTGTCACTAGCCGTTCAGGAAAAACTGTATATCAAGTAGGATCAAGCAAATGGTGGCGAGTTACCAAGTTGAATTATAATAAACACCAAGACGAAATAGAAATAGCTCAAGGCTTTATACAACAACAGGAACATGATAATAGATTACAACTAGATGCAATGATGAATAAAACATTATCTAATTGCTCACACACTTTACAAACATACATCACGACCGATACAAACAGATCCCATCAAAACAACTTACTGCCAAACAATGATCAGACTTTGAATCACAATATACTCGTATCAAACAAAATCCTAACCTGGATAATGGCCCTGAAGCAGAACATTTCTCTGACTACCAGATGAATGGAAAATATAGTTACTTAATGTATGAATATTTAGACACCTCAGCAGACGACACGAAATCTCTCAAATCACAACCACACATACAGTTACACAACTACCACTTCCAATTAATAAAAGACTTAGAGAAGATAAATGCAAAGTGCCTGACAAACTACTTTTACCTCATTAACTCTAGTTTTAATTTTTCTTTTTCTTTTTTTTCTGTTTTTGTTTTTCTTTCTTTTTTTTTCACTTGTATGCTGGGTTCTAGTTTGTCAATAACACGGTTCGTACTGAATATTAAACCAATACCTTTTACAATACCTTATAACCTTAAACTATAACAACACAAACAATTACAATAGAATATAACAATCCTTGTCTCACAGTATTTACACAAGGCGGTTCTTTGTCCTGAAAGGAAAATACAGTTATTTCATCTTTTTTTAGTGTAGTGCTTTTGCTCCATTCTAACTAACATCACGACTCGTTCATGATCGCTAGTTCCTCTTCTTAGTATTAGCGAAAGGTGGGCTCTACTTTGGGCAGCAACAAAAGCAAAATTGAATTAGTCATGTGTTGTAATTTTTTCTTCATGTACTTATATTTAGTTAGTCTTTATGCACTCATGCTTTCAAGTAAATAAAATAAATAAATAAATGAAAAAAAATTAAAATCGATAAAAATAAAAAAAAAACTTACCTAAGAGAACACCACTCGCATCCAAAGAGCCAAAGACTCATCTAAAATAATGAAAAATAAAATTGTTAGGTTAATGTTTCATTAAAATAAAGAAGTTTAAGAATATAAAAACAAAACATACCGTAATTTACACGTCCAAAGACCCTAATGAAGTCAGAAAAATTGAAACATTAGTATTCAGTAAATGTTTCGTTAAAGAACAATACTTTCCATACATCCAAATATTCGAAGATACAGAAAGAATAAATGAAACGTTAGTGACCATTTCGTCAAAAGAAATAATAAATGGTAAGAAAATCTTACCTACCAAATTTTTCATGCATCTAATTAAATATGTATATCGTCTACAAAAGGAAAAAAATAAAACTTTAGTAATTGTTTCGTTAAAAAAGTAAAAAAAAAAAGCGTTAAAAAGATTTTTTTCTAATTAACAAATAAATTAAGAAGTGTTTTACCTACCAAATTTTGCGCCCAACAATAAAAAAAAGCCTAAAAAAAGAAACAAGCATTAGTAACCTTTATTAAGATCCATTTCCAAGAAGATTTGAAAAAAAAGAGAGTAAAAGAAAGGAAAAGGAAGAATGAAGGAAAGGAGAAAGAGAAAGGATAATATCGAAGCTCCAGTCTAATATACTTTTACTTACTCGAACTAAACTTTTTATTTCTTGAAAAAATATTGCATCTGAAAAATTTGCACCTTCGCGCAAAGAGAAAGGTTTAGTTGATGAAAGATGACTTTTACGCATTTTTTCAGGTTCACGAATTTTAAAAGAGAATGTATTTATAAATGTTTGATATATATAACTAATAAAATTTAAATACGAAATTTCGCTTTATTTTTTAGCTATTTTATAATATAAGAAAATGTTCACAGAATAAAGGAATAAAGATAAAGGATCAATCAAGGCGAAGTAATAAATCAGTGTTACAATAGGAGCGCCAAGGGCAAAGGTTTTTATTAATCAATCAGAAAAAGGCGAAGGCTTTTTATTAATTTATGAAAAAATTCTCTTAGATTTTTTTTTGTTCTATTATCGAGGTTTATTGTTAGATTTATATGTATAAAAGTTTAATTGTTAACATATGCACGTTAAAGCTTATTTATTGATATATGGAACAGTAAAACTTTAGACTTTTCTTTATATAGTAAGCTTAAATATAATTTAAATTATTCGTTTAAATAAACTTTTTGATCTTTCTTATAACTCAAATAGACTTTTATACTTTTTCTCAATATATAAACTTTATTATTATTTTTTATTTATCGATAAAAAAAATTATTTCAATATTTTGTACTTTTCATTTTAAGATTTTTTTCGAATATTTACTAAATTTAAAATTAAATAATCATTTAAAATGACGAAATTGCGAAATTCTCAAAATAATACTGTGTAAAATGAAACAGAATTTACGAGTAAGTATTTTATATATCTTATAATAAATATTATTATAATTTTTATTTATTTTTAATTTAATCAGGAGGTCCTGGCGATGGACAAGGACGTGGTCGTGGACGTGGTCGTGCTAGCAAAGTTCTAAAAACCAATGCAGATAACGATTTTAGAATTGTTTTGAAGAAATCAGCAGTATTTTTCTTATTTTAGCGGTTTTTTCTCATTTGCATCTATTTAACCAACATTTTAAAAATTTTTTTTATATATCCTTTACAATTATATCTTTTACATTCTTAATTGAAACAATTATATTTTATCATTCTTTTCGTCTCTTTTTAAAAAACTAATGACGAGAGTTAGTAACTTAAAAATTTCTGGGTGATTTCCGGTGAATATTTACTCTTTAGATGGATCTAGATACGTAAAATTTAGTTGAATTATTTTTTTTTGGGCTAATTCTTTGGACTTATTCCTTATATTCGGCTGTAATTTTTCTGGGATCGTCTGTACGAGCCAGAGGTGCAAATCAGATTGATATCATGTGATTATGAACGAAAGTATTTATTTTTTTTATTTTAATTTATTTCCTTTAACAAATGTTTACTAATTGTTCTTTATTTTTTCTTTTTAGAATCCTTACAATTTATTTAGAGTTAGAAAACCACAATTCTCCTTTCGTTGAATATTTATATGAAGTTTTATTTTTAATATTTTATTGGTGTTAATGTGAGTTACTTCATAGGCTTGCTCACCAGCTGGCAAGGTGTATGAAATTTCTTTTAATTCACAAAGAAAGCCTTACTAAAGTCATCTTTAGCATAGGTCTAGTAATACATTGCCTTAATTAAGTGCGGCTACGAAGTTTATGAAGTCCCAACTATTAATTACACAATTTATTTATAATTTAAATTTAAATGCATGTACAAAAACCATAGAATTTTTATTATAAATCTTTGCTATATATCAATTGGTATTTTCTTTACTGAAACCCATGAAATCACGACTATGTAGTAGCCATGCTGCCGGCTGCCGCCACTTAACATAGTAGGCGTACGGCTATTCTATGTTAATTCTAATGCAGTTGTATGTATTTAACATAGAAAATATATAGTAGATTATCGTCATAATATAGAAATTGTATCGCCAATATAAAGAAACTATATAAATGTTAGCTAGAAACTGTATAAATGATTTAAAGTAATGATATATGTGATTTGCATTAAACATGTAGAAATTCATAGAAAATTTGTATTAACTTTATAATAAATATGCAGTAAATATATAATAAGTATATAGAGAATTCATAGTAAATACATAATAAATATATAACAAATTGCAGTAAATATATAGTAAATTCACAGTAAATACATTAAATATATAATAACAAATTCATAGATATGAGTCCGATCACATTCCAAAAATCGTTAAGTATGGCGCAGCAAAATTGCGCCAAGTTCTCATGAACGAGACCTGGGAAATAAATTTGAATGGGATGCATGATTAGGTGGTGTAGTCAGCCAAGCTGATTGGGCAGAAACTTTACTGCAGTATTTTTGGGACCCGAATGTGGAACCTCGTGGCGATGGTGTCCTAGCTGGCTAACGGAGATGTAAAATGTACTGATTGTAGGAAGTATCTGGTGCATTTTACTACAGTCTCTCCTAATAATACGTAAGAAATAATTTCTGGTCGAACTTATCCTACGTAATTCGTCCCTTCAGCGTTTTTTTTTGAAATTTTACGGATGCTCCTAATACAAATATTTCCAATAATTACAGGACACTATTTACCAATATATATGGAAACTAGAACATGAATGGTTCAAAACCTTTCAACTCCTCAAGAAAAGACAAATCCATTATCAACATTGCTTAAAGAAAATTTGTCATATGGTAAACACAATCCCTATGTCATGTGTCCCTACTCCCTATCTACTGTACATACCTTCGAAGAAAAAAGAAAAACACTTCATCTTTCCTATGAAGCTCGTAAATAACACCTCTCTACCGATCGACGCGTTCATTAAATGGATGTTATCAAATTATTCGCAGGCACTTGGATGTCTCATAGAAATATAGATAGATTTTTTTTTTTCGTATATAGAAAGTGGATTAGGTAATAAGGTGTTTAAGTGATAAATGTTAGCGATGATATATATACTTTCCATATAGTTGTCTTAACGTTAGTTAGAAAAAATTTATCGTGGGTAATTTTTTTCTGGTTAGTATCAACTGGTATTGTCAGAAGATTTTGTGTTATTTAGATATGTTAATCTACTTTCATATGTATGTATCGATCTTTGTTGTTGATGCGTAATAAAGTGTATAGAATTAATAAAAAAATCGCATTCTAAAGTTCACAGAAAGAGAAGTGAAAAGTTAATAACAATTACTGAAAGTAAATAAATCTAAATAATCTAAATTAAAAAAATGAATTTACCATAGTTCATTCTTTTAAATCCTGGTCGTTTACCTTCGTCTCATGTCCAGGTTCCCTAAAAATAAAAGAAAGGGGACGTTAATTACGTTCCCTTAAGTAAAAATAAAAAAAAAACTTAAAAGAAATGAACTTACCATAGTTCGTTCTTTTTTTAAAATCCTGGTTGTTAACGTCTTAACAATTTCGTTCGTCCAGGTTTCCTAAAAAAAAAGAAAGGGAACGTTAATTACATTCCCACAAGTAAAAAAAATAAAAATAAAAATAAAAAAATGAACTTACCATAGTTCATTCTTTTTTTTTTAAATCCTGGTTGTTAATGTCTTAATGATTTCGTTCGTCCAGATTTTCTAAAAAAAAAGAAAGGGAACGTTAATTACATTTCTACAAGTAAAAAAAATAAAAATAAAAATAAAAAAATGAACTTACCATAGTTCGTTCTTTTTTTTTTAAATCCTGGTTATTGACGTCTTAACGATTTCGTTCGTCCAGGTTTTCTAAAATAAAAGAAAGGAATGTTAATTACGTTCCCACAAGTAAAAAAAATAAAAATAAAAATAAAAAATGAACTTACCATAGTTCGTTCTTTTTTTAAATTCTGGTCGTTAACATTTTAACGATTCGTTCATCCAGGTTTCCTAAAAATAAAAGAAAGGGAACGTTATTAACGTTCCCTTAAGTAAAAATAAAAAAAAAACTTAAAAAAAAGAAGCGAACTTACTATAGTTCATTCTTTTTTTTAAATCCTGGTCGTTAACGTCTTAACGATTTCGTTCGTCCGGTTTTCCTAAAAAAAAAGAAAGGGAACGTTAATTACGTTCCCTTAAGTAAAAATAAAAAAAACAAAAAAAAGAAATGAACTTACCATAGTTCATTCTTTTTTTAAATCCTGGTCGTCAACGACTTCATCCATGTCCAGGTTTCCTAAAAAAAAAAGAAAGAAAATGTTAAATTACGTTCCCTTAAATAAAAAAATTAAAAAAAACCTTAAAAAAGAGAAACAAACTTACCATAGGTTCGTTCTTTTTTTTTAAATCCTGGTCGTTAGGCTTCGTTCGTCCAGGCTTCCTAATATAAAAGAAGGGAACCTTTAATTATGTTTTCTCAAGTAAAAATAACAAAAAAAAAGAAATGAACTTACCTAGTTCATTCTTTTAAATCTTGGTCATCCTGCGTCCGTTCGTCCAGGAAAGGGTTTTTAAAAAAATAAAAAAATAAAATTTTTTTTTTTTAAAAAAAAAAATCTGAATCTTTTCAGATCGGATCAGATTTTCTTGTGTTATGATCTGATCCGATCTGGAGCACTAGTCCAGGCTAATATACTTTTACTTACACGAACTAAAATTTTTATTTCTTGAAAGAATATTGCGTCCAGAAAAATTTGCACCTTCGCGCAAAGAGAATGGTTTAGTTGTTGAAAGACAACTTTTACGCATTTTTCAAGTTCACGAATTTTAAAGATAATGTATTTATAAATGTTTGATATATATAACTAATAAAAATTAAATACGAAATTTTGCTTAATTTGTTAGCTATTTTATAAAATTCACAAAATAAAGGAATAAAGACAAAGGATCAATCAGTGTCATGCAAGGGCGAAAAAGGCGAAATCAGTGTTACAATAGGTGAAAATAAAGGTGAAGTAATAAATCAGTGTTACAATAGGAGTGTCGAGGACAAAGATTTTTATTAATCAATCAGTGTGAAAAGGGCGAAGAAAAAATTCTTTCTTGAACGTTTTTTTTTGTTTTATTATCAAAAGTTTATTGTTAGATTTATATGTATAAAAGGTTAATTGTTAACATATGCATGTTAATTGATATATGGAACAATATAATTTTAGACTTTTCTTTATATATAAAAGATTAATTGTTAACAAAGCTTATATTGGTATATGGAACAGTAGAACTTTTAGA